TCTGCTTCAGTCTGTGTGTCAGTAGAATCTTTGGCAACTTGCTGTGTTGTTTCTTGCCCCTCTTCTCCACAGATTACTTTTCACCAATTTGTCTTTTCAAAGACAGCCTGTCAGCAGTTCAAGGTGTGGATTTTACCTCTGGCCTCCTAGACTGTTCATCTTAATTATTAGTAACAGGCAGCAAGGCTGACACATAAAAGTAAGTGACCACCTACACTGTGTCTTTGAAAAGGCACAGCGTGCCTGAAATTCCAGATGTGAGATTCATTTCTCTGATTTCAAAAACATTAATATTTTAGGAAAGCTTGATCAAATTGCAAATACTCTCTTTTGCTTACTCTTATGTTTATCTGCATGCACTATTGTGTTGCTCGTACTGTATATTGTAATTAATGTTTCTGTGCCCCCGTGAGACCGTAAGCCATTTGCATAGGAATGGTGTTCCAGTCCTGATATCTTAGAATCTAGGATAGTATATGGTGACAGTAGTTCTAAATACCTATAGGAGGTACTTAGACCTACTGGTTGTTGAGTCAACAAATATATAGTTGGAGAGGTCAGAAACTTAATGCATTTGTTTTAACTGTAATACTAATTAGTAACAATTAGTTTTTGAGTCACTTGAGGCAACAGAAAACCCAAATAACAATGGTTTAAACACAACATTGTAAATTTTTCTCATGTAATGAGAAGTCCAAAGGAAGAAAATTACTGGTATCCATTTGGAAGTTCAAGATGTCATGGCTAAACTCTCAGTAATAATCCTACCTTTTAATGTTGAAAGGTAACTGCTCCAGTTCTAGTCACCATGTGTAAATTTCGGGAATGAAGAAGAAAGAAAGGGCCAAAAAGAAGATAAGGCAATATCTGTATCAAGAAAGCAAAACCTCTCCAAAAAGTCCATCAGATTTCTGTTCATATTTCACTGGACAGAATTATGACAGATTTTGTCTCCCATAGCAACAAGAAGGATGAGAAAATATGGGGCCTGTATCATATATTCTCATTCTCTCTCTCTCTCTCTCTCTATCTCTCTCTCTCCCTCCCTCCTTCCCTCCCTCCTGCTCTTCCTCTCTCCCTTTCTGTTACCGTATTTCTCTCCCTCTTCTCTTTGCCTGCAGCAATATCTGGACTTCTCAAATAAGGAGAAGAGAATGAATATTGAGTGAACCATAATAAATCTCTGTCACAGAGGGGTACTGAGTATATGAATTCTGGGAGAGTCAATGTAAATGTAAATGAAAGATAGTCAATGTAAATGAGAGAGCATATGCTGTCAGCTAATGGTTGCTGCACTGTTCTGCCCAGTAATGGCTGACAGGAATGAAGCATTTGGATCTATAAGTTTTAAAGCCTAATGGAGAGATGAGTTTCACAGGAATTCTAATTCCATTCATCCTCTTCATGAGCTTCATAAATAAAGTTTTCCCAAGCATTTTCTATATATCTGGCAATACATAGAGTAATATATAGAGTAATATAATACTTGCCATCAAACTGCCCACTTTAAATTGAACTTTGCAATAACAGAGCTGAACATAGGGTCTTGCATTGGTCCACTGAAGAGGCACTAACTCAGCTTATGTGTGTGCTTTGTGGAGTGGGAGTTTAGTTGGGAAAGAATTGTCCTAGAAGGAGAAAATGGAGCTCCCCAAATGAAGTGCAGAAGGGTGTTAGTGTCACAGAGCATTAACTGATAAAGGCATGGGAAGGAAAAGAAAGTAAAAAGTATTCTGGGATTTATAATTTTTTCAGTGGTGCAAAGTACAGAATCCAAAGGGTGAGGATAATGGTAGTGAGCCAAATTAGAAGGGAGGTAAGCAAGAACCAAAGTGTTTTGAGAAAAAGACACTAAATGAATTAGTGTCAATGCTTTAGGAAAACTATACATTTAAGACTTGCTTTAGGAAAATTTACTGGATATGGGTACCATTGAAGAGAGAATATAACTAAAGGACTATTCCAATTGTTCAGGTGAGAAATATGAGGGCCTAACCCAAAATGATATTATGAGGGCCTATCCCAAGTGAAATATCAGGGCCTAACCCAAACTGATTCCACGGACATTACGCAAGTCTAAGTTAAAGAGCACATTCAATGTGTGTGTGTGTGGGGGGGTGGGGGGGGGATATGGGCAAAAAGTGTTAGAGGTGGGGCTAAAATGAAGGTAGAAAACTAAAATGACTTCCATTTTTTCACTCATTCATTGATTCAATGATGACTGAGCCAAACTTCCTAAGGATAGTGTGTGCTTGGAGTAATGTACTACCCAAGTAAGATATAATAATACATACACTTGTCTGTATTAGTGCCTATACATCCGACCTAAGTATAACAGAAGTGAACCTCAACAAGAACATAGTCATTCAGCCATTGAAAATGAGGCCATGGAACCAAATGCCATTCAATGTGCTCTTAAATCATGGTTGAACAGTCTATTCCTTAGAGCAAATTTCAAAGACCAAGGGAATAATATGAAACACCAGATTTTATTTAACAAAGTATAGGCCTGATCATGCCATATTTCCATGGTGAGTTACTTAGTAGACTTCAAAACAAATTATTAACAAAATAAGGAACTTATTACATTGGCCTCTGTAGCAATTAAAAGAGTAAGATCTGATATGTAAAATATCATGAAAAATTCTTAAACCACAAGAAAAATGATGAAGGCTTCACAGAGCCAATTCCAGTAATTAGATACTTAAATAGAATAGCAAGGCACACAGGAACAGAGGATAGGCCCAGGTCCAGAGAAAAACCAACAGAAATGGTAAGTTAGAAGCATGCAACAGTTTTTAAAATTAGCATTTTATTATCCTGCCTTTACATTATGCATAAAGGATCCTTAAGGTTCACTAACCCAGTAGTCCTTGTCACTGCTGTTACCAGCTCAACCATGCTTTTAACAAGGGCTCTCTTAATGCACTGCCTGGTTTGAAAAAAAAAAAAAAAAAAGATGTGTAGCAGAATAAATGCCCTAAAGTCACTCTGGTTTCTGGACACAAAGAACATCCCTATTAAAGAATCCACTTCCTCTTTTTCAAAATTTCTGTTTCCTCTATGTTTACACATTGGGAGATTATTTGACCTTAAGAACAATGAAATCAACAAAGTAGCAGCAATGAGTGTGATTAAAACAAATGCATAGCAGAATGGTGATGGTTCATTTTACGTCAGAAAGACCATGATTAAAATCTTGGCTTTTGTACTTACCAGGTTTCTTACCCTCTCTAAGGCTTATCAATAAAGTAGAAATACTAGCACCTAGTTCACAGAACTGTTGTGAAAAGTAAATGTTCATGAGGCACTCAACCCCAAATCTGGCATATAGTAAGTGTTAAGTACATATTAATACAAAGGATGAATTAACAGTATCCTGTGAAATAAGATTTGCATTTCATTTTACAGAAGAGATCTCTGAGAGGGTCATGGTGCTAGTAAAAATAAGAACTACCATTCAAACCCAGGTCTACTCTGGTAGGTTCACTGCTATGATTTTTTGTGTGTGTTTATTTTCTACATTTTAGAAGATATCCTTTCAATAAGTCAGGATTTAATACAAATACTATACTGAGCTTAAGGTTTCAGAATTAAATGAGAGAGTATGGAGAAGAAAATGAAAGTAAAAGCAGTGTATTGCAAACAGCTCAATATTATAAACATGCAAGGTATCAAGTTTAGAACATAAACCCTATGATAAATAGTTAAAACTATAAAGATAATTTAGTCTGGAGAAGAGACAGTAAAGGGAAATATAATAGCAATAACCAAATGTACAGAAATGCAGTTTAAAATATTATGCATACTTTCACTTTGTAAGGATGGTTTAATGATTCCCAAAGGACTAAAAATTAAATGCAAGGAAAAATGACAGTTATAAAGTAGGTACTGTGCTGCCAGTTTTGAATGAGTATCTATGGGGGTGGGGTCACTTAGGGGATAGATAAGAGCTCTATTTATGATTCGGGGATGAATTATGCTTACATTTGCAAGTTCCGAGGCTATGGGGAACTGCTGCGTTGTAAGAAAATCTCAAAACTTGGATTAATTTTTTCACACCATGAATATTTCAAAAAGAAAATGTAATGTTTGAATTTTCATGTTTAATTATTAAAGTGCCCATGAGTTTACCAAAAAAAGGAAACCATGCATAGCAATTTGTCACTTAACAAAATTATTACCACCACAGAACTTGATTATCCTATAAAATTTTATCTCAGTATGGAATTTCACATTTACTAAGTGATATATTATTGGTTTTTAACCTAAAAATGATTACAAATTAGATATTCCCAAATTCTACTTTCAGGTTGACCACTGACTACAGATATAACTATGGATAAAGGCAAGAAAAAAATTAATTTATATTTATAGATAGTTATACATCATACTGACCAAATCAAACTAGCATTAAAAAAGATGCTTGTCACTATCTAATAGAAAAATGAGGTTTTAAAAACAATGTCTAAATTTCTCATAAACATATAATTTCTCATAAACATATGGTGTGATTGTATTCACACCAGGGGGCGATCTTAACACTGAAATGATGGATGACATTTTAAAACACGTGGTGGTTTCAGCTAGCCAAAATGAAGGGTTTTTTAAAAGCATGCAATACCTGCAACAAGAGCTCATCTCTCCAAAACGGTTGCCAGCATAACACAACTCCCTTTTCCTATCAAGTAAAACATTTTCTGCTAATAGGAAGTATCTTATTTTGAAAACATCTACCTATTTAGCTGGCATTTGTCTTATTCTTTCTGTGGTTGGGCTAATTCTGAATAATAAGTAAAGCACTTAAAATTGCATACAACTTTAAAAACTTGTTTTATCATCAATGTCATTTTTTATAAAATATCCTACCAGAATTTCAGGGGTTTTTTTCTTTCATTAAAAAAAAGAAAGAAAAAGAAAAGAAAAAGGACTCTCAGAGTTATCTAAAGCTGACACTTATAATCTGGCCACTATGGGCCTTTTTCATATTTTCTCATTACCTGGTAGAAATTCTGAAGCTCAGATGATCTCCAAAAGTTCAAGATGCAGAATCCTAAAAATATAATTAGAAAATTACTGTAAAAATTCAAGAAAACAGAAAAAGGCAAAAGACAAGTATGGGCTAAGTTACCCAGAAATGCAGGTAAATTACAAATGATACCTACTTAAATAAACTTTAAGAAATAACTTAAAGTAGAAAGGAAAGAATGACAAAGTATGTGAAAAGAAGAAAAGATAGCTACACAACTTTCTATAGTGGTAGAGAATGAGTTTATAAACTTTTCTCAAACATTATAGTTGAGGTCACTCCTTTTTTTTCTATCAGTTGCCTCCATGAGTCACCATCTACCTGTGCCCAAGTTCAAACAGAGAATGTTCTGGCCATGGTTCACTTAATATGTATAGACAGTGGAGAGCTACCTATCCCTCATGAGTTCAAGGAAACAGTCATGAACCTTTCTATGTTTGTTAGCTAAATCAAATTAACAAGCACATTACTGTCTCAAATCCTGTTGATAGGGAAAAAAATCATTTTATAACAAGAGTAACAGTATAAAGTAAAAATTCACCTGGAGAAAATAATAGATTAACTAGTTTAGACCTAAGTGTATATGAATGATGGGACGTCATACCTATTCAGAAACATATTTTAACAGTTTTTGAGGATGTAGGGGAGAAGGAAGGAACAAAGAACATAGGATGAAAAAAAAGGCACAGAGGAGAAAACTCCAGAGAAAGTGTATGTTAGACTACCATTACCTGTGTTACTCCTTGATCTTTGGAGTGAAACAAGTACTGAAAGGTTCATTAAGGTATACGAAGCCTTGTTTGGTGAGAGGCAACATCTGACATGAAACAATGTGGTATATTGTAAAGAAAGCCATGTAGTTTCGATCAATAGCAAGACCAGAGAGTAGGCCCTGACCAGTTGCTAAAAATTGCTAATAGAGTTTACTCCTCATTAGGACTAGAATGGTTGCCAGGTAGCCACCAATTGACCCATATTTTAGATTACATTTAATGCCACTTGAAGGTAGGGATACTAACCAGAAACAGCAAAGTATTTTAAAATGTTCGACAAATTGGTTTTTGGATAGGAAAGAATAGAAAAGTCAAGGATGACACAAAGGTTTTTGATTGGACAACTGAAAGGATAAAGCTGCCATTAAGTGGAACTGTGAAAAAAGCAGGTTATTAGGGGAAGTAATTATATTGACTATGGATATGTAAATTTGGAGATGACCATCAGACATACCCAAGAGGAACAATATAAAGTAAGCATTGACTGTATTAATGTGGAATTTAAATATGGTGGTCAAGCTTTTAAGTACAAAACTGAGCACTCTCCCTTCATTGACAATATTTATATCCACAAGATACATAAATTGGGTGCAGACAGAGAAGAGATAGGGTGAAAGACTATCCCTGGGATAGGTAGACTCCTGGGTGGCTCCATTATCCCAGCCTCCTGGTGGTCATGTCCTCCTATGAATCCCACTCCCTACTGTGTAGGCAGGACCTGTAACTTCTTTCTGACCAATAGAATACATGGCAGGTTATATATGAATTACACTGTGTGATCACATTATTACATTATATAAGTTTCTCCTTCACTAGCTAACTTTTGTGAAGCCAGCAGCCAAGTTGAGAACCTACTTGGCAAAGAACTGAGGGCAGCTTCTAGAAACTGAGGGCTGTCTCTAGCTGACATCTTATAAGATCTCCAGCCCCCAACAAACAAGAAAACTAAGACCTCACTCCTATACCTTCAAGAAAATAAATTCTGCCAACAACCTAAGCTTGGAAATAAAATCCTTCTCTAGCCAAGCACTCAGATGACAACCTAAGCACCAGGTGACACTGTGACTATAGTCTCACAGAAGACACTGTTAAGCTATGCCCAGACTTCTGATCCAAAGTAGGAAGTAGTATTTGTTGTCTTAAATCACTAAATTTGTGGTAATTTGCAATAGAAAAGTAATGCAAGTCGTGGGTTAATACAACACTTAGAAGCCAAGGAAATATGAAAAAGCCAGGATAAAAAGGTAGGACAGCGAGGGAGGAGGAAAACCAGAAGAAAAGTATTTCTGAGAAAATTATATCCAGACTAGAGGCCCGTCGCATGAAGAGATTTGTGCGATAGGCCTTCCCTTCCCCTGCCTGCCAGCACCGGTTTTCCGCAGGCACGCGGGACCCAGGCCTTCGCTGCTCTGGCCAGAGCCTTCAGTCTTCGCTCTGCAGCTTTGTGCCTACATGTGCAAAATAATCTCCACCTTTGTTGGGTTAATTTGCATGATTATATCCAGACTAGAGGCCCATCGCATGAAGAGATTTGTGCGATAGGCCTTCCCTTCCCCTGCCTGCCAGCACCGGTTTTCCGCAGGCACGCGGGACCCAGGCCTTCGCTGCTCTGGCCAGAGCCTTCAGTCTTCGCTCTGCAGCTTCATGCCTACATGTGCAAAATAATCTCCACCTTTGTTGGGTTAATTTGCATACTCTCCTGATTGGCTGGTGAGCATAATGGAGGGATGGTCAATTTACATGTTTGTCTATTATTAGGTAAGATTCCTCAGAGAAATATGAAATAGAGATACTAATGAGCAAAGGGAAAACTGAATTCACTGACTTACTAAAGGCTCACAATTGAATGGGACACAAGAAGCCAAGTGGAGTCATCTCCATTCCAGCCTTAGGGTCTTCTACTTTTCCCCTTCCTAGGAGAAAGTGGTAAGAGGCAGTGGGAATCGAAAGATGCCAGAAAGCATTCAGTTCTTTCTGCTCCAGATCAGTGGTCACCAACCTTTTAGACCTCATGGATCACTGGTTGGTGATCACTGCTCTAGATGGTCATTCACTAACAATACTAGTCCTTGTATTGAGAGTTAGAGCTGTTTTTTAACAAAGATGGATTCTTTAAAGATTTTTTTTGTAGGGCAAGGATCCCTGTAATCTAGCCAGTTCTCAGGTAATCACCATTGAAAGGTGTTAAGAGCAGCCAGGTCTAGTCACCTTCATACCAGTCTCCTTACAAGGAGAAAGTGGTAAGACGCAATGTTAACACATTGTATGTGAGAAACGTATTTATACATTTTACGTATTTATACGTTCTACCAGTGTAGTAGAGCACGGGACACGTATTAATATGTTTTTTATAGACTAGTGGTAGAATGCGGGTAACATATAAATACGTAAACTACAGTTATTGTAATTTTACTGAACGTTGCCATTTGCGCAAAAAATTAGCAAAAATGGCCCGCGCCACCTGTTAGCGCGCGATAAAAACTACCCGCAAACAATGTGTTAACACATTAGAAGGAAGATTCGGTAATAGGTAGCTATCATCAAGACAGTCTTTTTACACAGAATCAGTGCAAAGGATATAAATAAAGCAGGAAGGGCCTAGTGGGTGTGACTCGGTTGGAGCACTGATTGTCCTAATCAACAAAAAGGTTACAAGTTTAATCCCTGGTTGGGGTGTGTGTAGAAGGCAATGGATTGATGTTTCTCTCTCTCTAAAATCAATAAACATATCCTTGGGTGGGGAA